TTTTTTTTATTTCAGATTTGATTTTGATGCTTTCACTTTTAGTTCTTTCACTTTTGGAAAAGGCTCATCCCAGGCTTTAGATTCCATATTTCCATTGGTATAGACCAGGAAAGGGTGACTATTATCAAACACTTAACATATATGAATCAGTCTTACCTCCCACCAAGATCTACCCTGTCAGATGTGTTTATGTTTTAATTACAGTAAGAAGTAGTAAAGCTTTGATGGGCCCAGATGCAGAATCAGAGATCAAAAGATATTTAAAGTGAAGAAATCTTCAAGAGTCTAGGTATAGGCTAAAGACAATCATTATATATATATATATATATATATATATATATATATATATATATATATATATATATATATATATATTAACTGTGTGTAGGTGGCTAACTAATTAACTGAATGAGTGATAACAGGAGTAAGATAGTGAAAGGAATAAAAAGATTGAACAATTGAAAGCAAATTAAACAACTTATGACATTCAAGTTCAATTTTGTGTGTGTATGTATGTGATGTTGGGAATGAGGAACCTGAGGCCTCATAGAGGCTAGACAAATACTCTACCACTAATCCATATCCCAGCCTCAGAGTTCAATTTTGTAATATCACCACATAYCCCAAACTTGGTGGCATGCCTTAAAAATTACCTTCAACCATCTTCAAAATGTCTCAAAATGCATACATTTAAATAAAATAAAATTCTTTTGAAATATAAAGGTAAAAAAAGAACTGAACTCACCTGAGCAACTTCATCTTTACACTCATGAAAATYTATGGGTGTTAACAAAGAATCATTTTTCTCATAGCTCTCTTGGCTAATGAGCATATCTGCATAGTTAGGCTGAGGAAAGATAACATGGCTTGTTTGAGAGCCTGCAGTGAGGGAGACCTCGTGGGAATAGGTCTGAAGAAAAGCTTGTATCCCATCAATGCCCACAAATTGTGAGGGGTGCACACCTGTCAGTCCACCTCCAGAGGCCTGGAGCATTCGAGACTTTTGCCAACGCTGAAGTCTGAGTGCCAGCAGCACAATGACAAAAGCAAGGAAGACACAGGAGACAACAGCCACTGCCACCACCAGGTGGAGTGTGAGGTCTGAATCATCTGAGACCCCAGGCGTCCTGACACTGCTWAAGTCTGCCAAGACTTCAGGGATGCTGTTGGCCACTGCCACAGTAAGTGTGACTGTGGCTGAGAGGGGAGGCTGGCCGTGGTCCTGGACAGTTACTATGAGACTCTGCTTGAATGCATCTCTATCCAGCAGGACTCTTGCTGTGCGCACCTCACCAGTGTGCAGCCCCACTGAGAAGAGTCCTGGCTCACTGGCCTTGAGCAGGCGGTAGGACAGCCAGGCATTCTGTCCTGAGTCTCTGTCCACTGCCACCACTTTGGTCACCARATATCCAGGCTCTGCTGAGCGGGGAGCCAGCTCCACACCAGTGGAGCCATCAGTGGGGAGGKTTGGGTACAGGATCTCGGGCACGTTGTCATTCTGGTCTAGCACATATAGGCTTAGTGACACATTGCTGCTAAGTGATGGGTCTCCACTGTCACTGGCAATTACCAGTAACTGCAAGTCTTGGATCWGCTCATAATCAAAGGAGCGCAATGCATATAGGACACCAGTGTTGGAGTTGATGGAGACATAGGAGGACAAGGGTGCTCCCTGGATGGTGTCTTCAGTCACAGAATAAGTGACCTGTGCATTTTCCTGGCTGTCAGGGTCATGTGCAGTCAATGAGAAAATAGAGGCTCCTTTCAGATTGTTCTCTGGAATATAAGCTGAGTAGGAGGCATGAGGGAAAATGGGTGCATTGTCGTTGGTGTCTGCCACAATCAGGGTAATATAAGTTTCAGTTGACAGAGGTGGGGATCCTAGGTCTGATGCTGTCACTGTGATATTGTAAGTAGACTCTTTTTCTCGGTCCAAATATTTCCATGTAACCAATCTATAATAATTATCTATTGACTTTTCTAATTTAAAAGGTAAATTATCATGTGTGTAACAAACAACTTGACCATTCTTTCCAGAGTCTTGGTCATGCACATTCAAGAAGGCAATTACCGTACCAGGAAGAGAATTTTCCAATACTGGGTTAAACAAAGACGTGATGATCACTTCGGGTCTATTGTCATTTACATCTTCCACCATAATTAGCACTTTGGTCCTCCCGAGAAGTGCTCCCACATCTTCAGCCTGTATTTCCATTTCATAAAATGAGCATTCTTCATAATCTAGACTTTTTGCTACAAATATTTCCCCAGTATTTTCATTAAGCTGGAATATGGGAGATTGTTTTTCATTGATTTTCCGGAATTTATATGCCACTTTCCCGTTGGCTCCCTCATCCGSGTCGCTAGCTCTTACTGTAAGCAATAGGGTGCCTGGTGGCACGTTCTCAAGGACTTTGGCTCTGTAAATCGGTTGAGCAAACACCGGGGCATTGTCGTTTGTATCCAGCACTGTCACCTGGATGCGCACTGTGCTAGAGCGACRTGGGTCGCCGCCATCYGAGGCGGTGAGGACCAGGTGGTGAATAGCCTCTTCTTCTCGGTCCAGAGTGTGCTCCAGCACCAGCTCCGGGTTTAAGGTTCCATCGTCTCGCGTTTGYACGTCCAGGGAGAAGTGGTGACTGGGGCTGAGCTGGTAGCTCTGCAGGGAGTTCACGCCCACATCCGGGTCAATGGCTTCTGGGAGTGGGTACCGAGCTCCAGGAGCAGCGATTTCATTAATTTTTACTTCCAGATCGTCAACATGGAATTTTGGGTTATTATCGTTAATATCAGTTATTTCTATTTCTACCCCAAAGAGTTCTCCTCCATCCTCAACGAGGATGTTAATATTTACAAGACACCGCGCGCTCTGGGCGCAGAGCTCCTCCCGGTCTATCCTGCCCGCAGTGATTAGGCTGCCGCTTTGTGGATTCAGAGAGAAAAGCTGCGTCCTACCTCTGGAGACAATTCGGACTCCGCGATCTGCCAGTTCCCAGGGTTCCAGTCCCAGGTCCTTGGAGATGTTGCCCACCAAGGTGCCTTTKTCCACCTCTTCTGGAACCGAGTAGCTAATCAGTGCTGTCCCGAGCTCCCACAATATCGCCAGGAGTGTGCACAGCAGGACCAGCTCGCCACGTCCTTGGTGATTCTTTGGAATCGCCATTGTTCTTTCGCTACAGGATCCTTTCAGAATATTCCCGRGGCATGTGTGTCTTGTTYACCTTTTGGGGGAAGTCGTGGAGAWCTTAATGTTACAGAAAATTTAGRGAAGCCCTAAATTTAGGACTGAATTTCGCTGCAGCCCAGCAGTTGGTTTTGSGAGCTGCCAGTCTTTGTGATGTGTGAGCACGGAACATCTGATGGCCTTCCGGTTGCAATTCTCTCCCAGTAAGTGAACAGCGGCGCTTGGAGTCCTAAGCAGTTACTGCACTTAGATACAGATAACTTAGATATGTAATAGTGAGGAAAAAATAATACAGTTGCTTTTTATACTTTGTTTTGAATTTAGTTAATTTGTCTCTAAATGCATATTTTAAAAGAGATTGTCAAAGAGTGTAGGAGAAAGTGGGGRTGAAGGTTTTAGAAAGCATTAAATGATTGATTTTTGGAATAGCCTTATATTAAATTACTCATTTTCGTGGAATATATTTGCTCCTCTTAAAAGAAATACAACAATTGTTCACATTGTGTCTTAAGCTTTACTGTAAGTGTCTTCAATATATGTTAACCAATAAGTGACAACTTCAGTTCTTCACTGAAAATGACTTAATTTTTAGGCTCAAACAGACCTATTGAAGATTGATTCAGAAGTTGTTTTATTTGGTATAAAATTAATCATTATACTAGCTTCCTAGAGAGTTGTTGCTTTTAAGTTTTCTTTCTAAATGCTATTTTGATTACACATTGATACTTGTTTTCAAATTAACATTGTGAAACTTTATCAGGAAACCCTTTTGCAATTCACATTTTATCAGAGATTATATTGTCTTACTGTTTCATTTAAAATATTTATTTTTAATCTTTAATCTTTATATTTTAACAGAATAGAAAATAGTTGAAAAGTACAAATGAATTTACAACCAAAAGCAAATCTCCATTCCACCTCTTTAACCAAAGAGAGATGATTGTATTTTAAAGCAGACTAATTTTTAAGACAAATATTCCAAAGTTGGCTTTAGCTTGTTTTATAAAAACAACAATAGAAAGTAAGAAACACATAAKTATCACTAAGAAGTCAAACAATAAGTGCTACTACAAAAATTCTCTTTCGTTCAGTATTTTTTAAAGTAGCTATTAACTGATGCAGTTGCTAAAGGACACCTAATAGTTGAGACAATGCACTATTTTAATATTCAAATCAGATTGGCACACTGTCTAAAAATTTGAAGCATTCAAAGCTACTCCTATTCAAAATGTACTAGAATGATTAGAAGACCATGGGCAAGTTAGTTTAGGGCTGAAAAAGACAGTTTAGCATTATATATTAGAAGTGTGTAAGAGAGGAACAACAGAGGCAAAGCATTGTTTGCCTTTTCTTTGATGGAAACTACTGAATGGGCTTCAATACAGAGTGGCCCTGAAAACCCTATGCCACAGGTAAGAAAAATCTGCTTTCAATCTTTTGATAAGCAAGCATAATGAACCTTCTGCTAAGTAAATGGTTATGCACGCGCGCGCGCACACACACACACACACACACACACACCACATACACAATACATAAAATTAAAAGGGGTCCTTGGAATAAAAACCCAGATTGACTCCTTATTTGAGAAGAAAGTAAACATAAAAAATAAAACAACAGATGCCATAGGAAAGGAAATCATAGCTAAAATATTGAATAAAATATCTAGTTTTACTTTAAGGGTTTATTAAAATGACTATTTCTATATTATAGCATTTCCAAGTTAAAAATGTATTCATTGTATACAATTTTAACTTACAGGAAGAAAACCTTATGGATAAATCCACTAACTTCTTAGGG